TGAGATAGCTGACCCTGCCCCTCACTGGACACTGCAACAAGAGAGATGGCCCCACCCCTCACCATGGGGGTGGGAGAACTGACCCTGATGGCATGGGTATAGGGGAGCTGGCTCTGTCCCTCACCTGAGGGAGGCAGCCCTACTGGCCTGGACTGACCAGTCAACCAAGGTTGGGTCTTTGGTTGGCCCACTCTAACATTTACCCCCATCAAGGACCTGCTAGAGCTCATGAAGGACCCTGACTGGGGAAACAGCAGGATATTCAAGAGGAGTTTTGGTAAGGATCTAGTAATGATGGTGTACCACAAACCAGAGGCCTTGAACCAGACCAATGACTCACTGCAATTAACATTTGCAAGTAAAGCTGATTAGACAAAAGGGTATGCTGTGTGACACACCATGGCTCCCAATGACACCAGGATGAATGAGGAGGTGTTAGAGAGGTGGGAATGATGGAGGAGTGAAGAGGTTTTTCTTGTTGTTATTTTTGCTTGTTTTCTTTTTTTTCATTTGTTTGTTTGTTTTTATTGGGGGGGTACTGCAGGGGTAGAAGGAAGATATGCAGAGACTGAACTGGCTGGGCTGGGAGGTGGGTAGAACTGGGGTGCATGATGTGAAATTCCCAAAGATTCAATAAAGAAATTATGTTAGAATAAAAAAAAAAAACTTTGGGCAGTGGTAGTGTACGCCTTTAAGTCCAGCACTCAGAAGATTGGGCTGGGAGGTGGGTAGAACTGGGGTGCATGATGTGAAATTCCCAAAGATTCAATAAAGAAATTATGTTAGAATAAAAAAAAAAAACTTTGGGCAGTGGTAGTGTACGCCTTTAAGTCCAGCACTCAGAAGACAGAGGCAGGAGGATCTCTGTGAGTTTGAGGCTAGCCTGGTCTACAGAGTGAGTTCCAGGACAGGATCCAAAGCTATACAGAGAAAGCCTGTCTCAGCAAAAGAAAAAAAAAAAAGAAAGAAAAAAGAAAATATATTAGCCAGGCAGTGGTAGTGCATACCCTTAATCCCAGAACTCAGGAGGCAGAGGCAGGCAGATCTATGTGAGCTCCAGGACAGCCAGGGCTACACAGAGAAACCTTGTCTAAAAAAAAGAAAAAAGAAAAGAAAAGAAAATTGGCTTAATTTAGTATTTGGGAACCCTGGGTGACAGGATAATGAGCTCTCATTTTAAGAGATAATGCCTTGAAAAGAATAAGGTGGAGGCCAGCGAAATGATTCACTGGGAAAAGGTGCTTATTGCACATGACTAACAACCTAAGTTTGAACCCTGAACCCCACACAATGGTGGAAGGAGAGAACCAGCTCTAGAGAGTTGTCTTATGACCTCCATTATATGCCATGGCATATATGCCCTGGCCCATACACACACACACACACACACACACACACACATACACACACACACACACACACACACACATTGTGGACACACACAATAATAAATAATTTGAAAAAACCCAGATGTGATAACACATACCTTTAATTCCATCACTTGGGAAGCAGAGGTAAATAGACCTCTGTGAGCTTGAGGACAACCTAGTCTACATAGTTTCAGATCAGCCCGGGCTACATAGTAAGACTCTATCTCAAAAATAAAACAAACAAGCAAACAAAGGTGAAAGAGGGCTGGAGAGATGGGTCAGTGTTTAGGAGCACTGGCTGCTCTTCCAGAGCACCTGTGTTCAATTGCCAGCACCTACATGGCAACTCACAATCATCTGTAACTCCAGTCCCAGGGGATCTGATACCTTCTTCTAGCTTCAGTGGGACACTGCACACAGATATAATATACATGCAGGCAAAACACTCACATACACATAAAAAATAAAACAAGGAGCTGTAGAGATGGCTCAGTAGTCAGTTCTTCCAGAGGACCCAAGTTTGGGTCCCAGAACCCACATGGCAACTCACCCACATGGCAACACATGTACACTTACACTCAAGCACATACATACATGTACACATACCACACACATACAAATACATAAAAAACAAAAAGGAAAAAAGGAAGTTCACAAACATCTTTCACCATATGCTGTAGTTTGAGTGTCTCATCTCTTTAAAACTCATGTTGAGATTTAACTGGCATTTCAATGATACTGGGATTTAGGATCTTTAAGAAATCTTTAGGTCATGAGTACAGAGCCCTCCTGAAAGGATTAATGTCCATCTAAAGCAGTCCATCTCAACCTTCCTAATGCTATAACCCCTTAATACAGTTCCTCACATTGTGGTGACCCCCAACCATAAAACTATTTTCATCGATACTTTGTAAGTGTAATTTTGCTACTGTTATGAATCATAATGTAAAATATCTGATATTTCCAATGGTCTTAGACAACTCCTGTAAAAGAGTCATTTGATGACCCACAGGTTGAGGACCACTGGTCTAGATAATAGGCTTGCCCCTTCCTACATTCTCTTTTTCCCCTTCTCTATTATTATCTTTAAACTTCGTATATTTTTTTATTCTTTTTTGTTATTTTTTGAGTCAGGGTCTCAGGATGTAGTCCTGACTGGTCTGGATAAAGCTCACTATGTAGACCAAGCTGGCCTCAAACTCACAGAGATCCACCTGCTTTTGCCTCTGAGTGCTGAAATTAAAGATGTGCACCACCATGCCTGGCCCAAACTCTGTTCATCTTTATTGGGTACATTATAGCAATTTAATGCCTATATAGCAATATGTATTCATCAATCAGAGTAATAAGAATTTCTATCTTCTATCTAATCATTATTGATGTAGCCTGAGAATTTCATACTCCTCTAGTTATTCTGAAACATATCACGGTATTTCAACTAATAATTACCCTACTGTGCTAAAGGAGAATCAGAATTAATTTTTTCCACTCTTTATTTTTGATTCCCCTTATTCAAATTTTTCCATCCCCATTTACCCCTATTTTCTACAAGGCTGACTTTTTAGTTTCACAAATCAGTTCCTATCCTTCTCCCATGTGATACCTCTATATGTTTGATTCCTGGCATAAATATCTACTAGCTGTGCAAATTTGAATAAGTTATGTAAGTATGCTTTCCAATCCTATCACATAAAAATAGTAAGTACATCACCAGGTTGTTATGAGGATGAAGTGATTTATTACATGCATAAGGCTTAGAGGAGTAGTCACTAATGTTAACTACCATAGTTATAGCTGTTCCCCTTCTACTGCTACATCACAGGACCCTTCCCAGAACTGAGGATGTGCTCACACTCCCTCGCTCCCTCCCTCCCTCCCCCTGTGTGTGTGTGTGTGTATGTGTGTGTGTGTGTGTGTGTGTGTGTATACATATATGTGTGTACAGATGTAAGCATCTATATATGCACATGTGGAGGTCAACACTGAGTATCAGCCTATTTTTGTCTTATTTTCTGAGGCAGTGTCTCTTACTGAACTTGGAGCTTACTGACTGGCTAGACCATGCCTCTTGCCCCTTACCCCGTGATTCAGTTCTTCCTCTGTTTAAACCTAAAGCTCATGTCATTACACAGATGGCCTGAAATTCTTAATTTACATCTTCCTCAAATTTCTATTTTGAGGCTGGGCAGTGGTGGTGCACACCTTTGATCCCAGCACTCCAGAGGCAAAGGCCGAGGCAGGCTGATCTCTGTGAGTTCTGTCTACCGAGCAAGTTCCAGGACATCTAAAGCTATACAGAGAAACACTGTATCAAAAACAAAACAAAAAAAAATGCTTTCTTTGGTGGCAAGTGGTTAGATCTAACATGTTAGGATATACCCTCCACCCCATGTCATGCCTTTGGCGTGGGATTCTAGTTCTATTAATATGACAATACACTAAGTACAAGAACCTAGTAAATCAAGAGAAATAAAAACTGGGGCTGGAGAGATAGCTCAGCAGTTAACAGCACTCAATGGCTGCTCTTCCAGAGGACCCAGGTTCAATTCTCAGCATCCACATAGCAACTCACAACTGTCTGTAATTTCAGTCTCAGAAGACCTGGTGCCCTCTTCTGTGCACATGTGGTGCACAGAGAAACATACAAGCAAAACACACACTAACATTTTTAAAAACAAAAACAAAATATCAGAAAACTAGAGAATCATTGTGATAATGATAAAAAACACAAACTAAGGAGAAATGTATAAGAAGAGTCCCCCATGGCTGGGCGGTGGTGGCACATGCCTTTAATCCCAGCACTTGGGAGGCAGAGGCAGGCGGATCTCTGTGAGTTTGAGGCCAGCCTGGTCTACAGAGCAAGATCCAGGACAGGCATCAAAACTACAGAGAGAAACCCTATGTTGAAAAATCAAAGAGTCCCTGAGGTACACATTAAAACAGAAGGGATTTGGCCAAGCATAGCGGCACATGCCTTCAATTTCAACAGTCCTTGAGGTAGATGAATATCTGTGGGTCTGAGGCCAGTCTGTATGCAAAGGAAGTTTCAGGCCAGCCAGTGCTGCATAGAGAGACCCTCCTGCCTGTGTGGATGTGGATGAATCTAACTAACTAAAATAAAATAAAAATAAACAAAAAATAATAGATTTGTTTTTTAAGAAGGAATAAAAACTAAGGCTTATAAAAACTTAGGAAAAAATGTTAGTTCAAATTAGGCAAATAAAACAATTAAATTCTTTGAATCAATATTCTAAGAGGTTTATTATTTCTTCTTAATCTAAACAAAAATACAAAGGAGAAATATGTTTTTTGCTTTTTGTTTTTAAAGATTTATTTATTTATTTTTGCATACAGTGTTCTGCCTGCATACCAGAAGAGGGTGCCAGATCTTATTGCAGAGGGTTGTGAGTCACCATGTGGTTGCTGAGAATTGAACTCAGGACCTCTGGAAGAACAGCCAGTGCTCTTAACCGCTGAGCTATCTCTCCAGTCCGGGAGAAACATTTGTAAGAAATTAAAAGCTTTAATGTATTTGTTATATCTTAGCCAAAAAAAAAAAGTTGTTTAAAAAAAAGAGCTATACACTTTATGTTACTTACAAAAATCTTTATTAGAAAAAAGAAACCATACCTCCTTGAAGAATCTATTTAAGACTGACAGTCCAAACTCTGTTTGCTCCTCTTCAATGGTAACTTCATACTCTGCCTGATTGAAGAGATTAGGAAAAAGAAAGGTTAGTGATGTTACTTACTAACCGTATTTCATAATGCTTTAACTTATCTGATCTATGAACTGACATGGCACCCTCAGAACCAGAGAACAGTTCTATGGGTTAAATTTAAATAGTTCTCCAAGAATGTAAGGACAATGCCAGGGTAAAAATGTCAGGGAGAGCCGGGTGTGGCGGTGCATGCCTTTAGTCCCAGCACTCAAGAGGCAGGCTGATATCTGTGAGTTCAAAGCCAGCCTGGTCTACAGAATGAGTTCCAGGACAGCCAGGGCTACACACAGAAATCCTGTTTCAAACCCCACCCCACACCCCCAAAAAACTCTAAAAAACTTGTCTCAGAAAAGTCAGTGAGGGTAGGTGGGTTAATCTTCATTGTTTATTTGACTGGATTTAAACCCACCATAGGAACATATTCCTAGATATTTCCATGAAAGTGTTTCTAGAAAGGATAAATTGAGCAGGAAAGATCTACCCTACATGTGGACAGTGTATTATCCCATAAGCTGGAGTTGCAGCTTATAAAAAAAGAGAAAACAAAGCTAAGGAGATGGTTAGCAGTTAAGTACACTTAACTGCTCTTGCTGAGGATTCAGGTTCAGTTCTCAGAACCTGTATGGTGGCTCGCAATAACCTGTAACTCCAGTTCCAAAGGATCCAACACCATCTTCTGGCCACAAGGGGCATCAGACATACACACGGCACACTTCCACACAAACATGCAGGTTTTCACACATAAAATATTTTTTAAAGGAGAAAGCAAGATGAAGAGCAGCATTCATCTCTTGATGCTTTTTCATATATAAAAATATTCATTAGGAGCCAGGAAGGTTATACATGCCCATAATCTCAGCAATCATGAGTTGGAGGTAGGTCTGCTATAGTTCAAGGCCAGGCCAAGATACATTGTGAGGGCCCTGACCTACAAAGTAAGGTACAGACCAGCTTGGGTTACAAAGTGAGACCCTATCTCAAAAAGAGGGGGAAGGAAGCCGGGCGGTGGTGGCGCACGCCTTTAATCCCAGCACTCAGGAGGCAGAGCCAGGCGGATCTCTGTGAGTTCGAGGCCAGCCTGGGCTACCAAGTGAGTTCCAGGAGAGGCGCAAAGCTACACAGAGAAACCCTGTCTCGAAAAAACCAAAAAAAAAAAAAAAAAAAGAGGGGGAAGGAGAGAAGGAGGAAAATATGACATCAAGACAATTACCAACTCTGCCAAGTCTAGTTTTTAATACTCAAAAGCACAAAATCAGGCAGTGTAACCCTGAGATGAATCACTCACCACTGCATCCAAGAATTCAATGCATCTCTTTAGATCTGGTTTTGTATCACAGAATTGTCTGAAAAGAAGTCTTCCTATTGGCTGCTTGTCACAAAGGCTGCTAAAATCCTTTTCTGAGTAAAGAAGAGAAACAAGCATAGTAGTTACTACCTGAGTTCTATTCTGAATCTACTTTCTGTTTTCACTTAATATAATGGCAGTCAAAAATAGTATTTCTATGGTAATTTCTAAACTGTTTACTAATTTAAACTGAGTTATGACACATTTAAAAGACACAAGCGGGGATGGGAGACGTCTGAGTTTGCAAAGTGCTTAACTGCACAAGCATGGGGTCCTGAGTTCATATATGAAGCACCCACATAAAAAGCTGGGCATGGTGGGGTGTTCCTGTAATCCCAGGGCTGAAGAGGTGATGAAAGGCAGATTCCAGGGGCTCACTAGCCAGACAATCTAGCTGAATTGCCAAGCTCCAGGTTCAGTGAGAGACTCTGTCTCAAAAAATAAGGTAGAAAATTATCAAGGAAGACACCTAATGTTGTCTAGCCTATACATGCACATACACAAACATGTACAGACACATACACACAAATATAAATAATGAATAAATAAAAATAAATAAAAACAAAATAGGCAGAAATGATTGTGGTGGCATACGCTTATAATTCTAGAGGCTGAGGCAGAAGGACTGTACATTCAAGGGCAGCCTGGGTTACATGGTAAGATTCTGTCTCAAAAAAACAAAACCAACCAAGGCAGAACCAAAAAACAACTAGAACTTGTAAGAATTTGTAAAGTCTAACTTGATTTTGTTTCTTTTTTCTTCTTCTTTTTTTTTTGGAGTTGAGGATCGAACCCAGGGCCTTGTGCTTGCTAGGCAAGCGCTCTACCACTGAGCTAAATCCCCAACCCCTGTAAAGTCTAACTTGAAATAGACTGTTCTTTTCAAAAATGAAATATATAGGAGATAAGTTCTATGGATGGCCATCCACAAGGAAGGCAGGAGCATAAAGGTAACTTTCTACTACTTCACCCATCCTAGGTATATAGAATAAATTGCATATGCAGTAATACACTAAATCAGAATTTTAAAAACATCTCTCCATCTACTTTTTATACTTGCAAAAAAAATTTAAAATATTTATGCTTATTGATTTGTTTGATCTTTTTTATATTTAATGCTTATTACCTTCCCCTTTTATAGTTATTTGCTTATTTTTTCTTTTCCGTAGAAAAAATTGTATCCCTTGCCTCTCCTTACCTTAGTGATATTGTTCTGAGAATAAGGCCCTCGGATTCCAGCATTGTGTCAAGAAGAATACAAAACAAGGTTCCAGGCAGCTTGGACGGAGGGTGGGGGTGGCACACACCTTTAATCCCAGCACTCAGGAGGCAGAGGCAGTCGATCTCTGTGAGTTTTAGGTCAGTCTGGTCTACAGAGTGAGTTCCAGGACAGCCAGGGCTACCCAGAGAAACCCTGTTTCAAACCCCACCCCATACCCCCAAAAAACTCTAAAACAAAAGCATTGTTTAGAACAAGTAAACCTTCAGCAAGAAAACCATGTTCAGCAGCAGGAGAACACAAATAAGAACAAAGTCTAATGACATCTATGGATTCAAATGTAACAGTGAAACCCATTACTTAGTTTTTGTTCATTTGTTTTGTTATGAGACAGGGTCTCACTATGAAGTCCTGGCTGGCCCACAACTTCCTATGTAGACCAGGCTGGCTTAGAACACACAGAGATCCATTTGCTTCTGCCCCCAGAATGCTGGGATCAAATATGGGTACTACTACATAGGCCCACTACTGTAACACGAATCTTAAAAGGTCTTATTAATAAAAACAAACCCGGAGCCAGGTATTGGGGTGAACGCTGAAAGATCAGAGAAACAGAACAAGCCACTTCCAACCTCACCTTGCCAACTTCTCAGCTGATCTTGTTTCCTCAAACTAGAAGCTTCTGAGTCCTCATCCAAATGGATCTCAGCTGAAGTTCTGCTAAAAGCCTAAAAGCTTAAAAAGCCTAAAAAATCCTCTAGTTCCTGATCCTCATGACTTATATACCTTTCTGTTTCCTGCCATCACTTCCTGGGATTAAAGGCATATGTCTTTCCCAAGCAAGACATGAAATCTCCAGTGCTGGGATTAAACGTGTGCGCCACCATGCCTGGCTATTTCCAGTATAGCCTTGAACTCACAAAGATCAGGATGGATCTCTGCCTCCAGAATGCTAGGATTAAAGGCATGTGCTACCACTGCCTAACCTCTATGTTTAATATAGTAGCTGTTCTGTTCTCTGACCCCAGATAAGTTTATTGGGGTACATAATATATAAACCACACATTATTTTGTATGCTAACTAAAAACAAAAGAAGGGGGGAGTGAGGGGATGGGAAAAGGAAAAGGAAGGGAAGGAAATGGAATGGAGGGAAGGAAAGAGGACTGGAAGGGGAGGGGAGGTAGGCCAGTTGCTCTGCTAGCAGTGGCTACTACAACGGTTGGTTTTTGTCAATACAAATCTTCCTAGACATATCTAGGAAGAGGGGATTTTTTCTTTAGATTTACTTTATGTGAATGAATATCTAAAAGTCAGAAGAGGGCACTGGATCCCCTGAAATTAGACTTACAGATGGTTGTGAGCCACAGTGTGGGTGCTAGGAATTGAACCCAGGTCCTCTGTAAGAGCAACTAGCACTCATTACTACTGAGCCATCTCTCCAGTACCAGGAAGAGAGAAGCGTAATTGAAAAATGTCTTTGTAAAATTGGCCCATAGGAAGTCTATAGGCCATTTTCTTGATTAATGATTGACATGGGTGGGCCCAGCTCATTATGGGTGGTTCCACCCGGGCAGGTGGTCCTGGGGTGTATATGAAAGCAAACTGAGCAAACCATAGGAAGCAAGCCAGTAAACAGCTTTCCTCCATGGCCTTTGCTTCCGTTTTTACCTCCAGGTTCCTACCCTGAGTTCCTGCCCTGACTTCTATTGGTTATGGAGTGTGACCTAAGAGTTGTAAACTTAAATAAATCCTTTCTTCCCCAAGTTGCTTTTGACCATGGTATTTTCACAATGGTTAACTAAGACAGTGGCTCTCAACTTGAAATGGACAAACATAGCTGGTTTCCCAAAAGTAACTCTAAAGCTAAAGAATTACAGTAAGTGAGCAAACCATAACAAATACCGTCATTAAAGAGTTTATTAATATCAAGTAATTCTGGGAGTCTAAGCCATTCATTTTAGATCATTGGGTTTAAATATGGAAATGTCTAGGCAAGGGAGCTAGGGATTGAGTTCAGTAGACAGAGTGCTTATATAGCATGCACTTGGGTTCCATCCCTAGCATCATATATACCATGTATGGCAGTACATGCCCATAATCTTAGCACTTGGGAGGTAAAAGCAAAATTAGAAGTTCAAGGTCATCCTTGTCTATGTAGCAAGTTCAAGGTCAGCCTGGCCTACATAAATGCATGTCTCAAAAAATATATCTAAATAAATAAAGCACTGAATTGTGCACACTTATTTATTTATTTTTACAAGACATCACTGACCAGTGATTTAATTCTCCAAGTCAGTTCAAAGGGAGACTCTGTTCCCACCTACAGGAGAAGAACTCAAAGATACCCAAATGTCCAAGCCCAAATGAACTGGCAGATAGTCCCTAAACAAGAAGTTCATTGCTAAGACACAGGCTACCGCTTCCTCTTCACTCTCCTTATTTTCCTGATACTGTCTGTAGTTGGTATTAACAAAGAGGATAAAATCATCTTTAGAACCACTCTTCTGACAATTGTAGCTCAGTCTGAATTCTGACTGAGTCTATTCCTGTTGTGGTTGTTTCTCAGCTACTTCAGAGAAGACCTAAGGTCAGAGTCCCTCTGCAGTACAGAAAACAGGAGGACTCACTCTTCAGTTTCCCTCCTCACTGGGTCAACAATGAGAAAAGCTTCTCTTTACTCTAAATGTTCCTGAAGTATGTGGAGGGCACTGTCTCTACCTCCTGCAGACTGTATTCTGAGGTCAGAGCACTTTCACCATTTCACATTTCACCGAGGAGAGGACACCATGTGTTCCCCCTAGCACTTTAACACATGCTTCCTTTACCATGTTTCCTCTTGGTAACATAACACATGCGGGGCCCTATCCAGGAGAGTAAGAATGCAGAGATTGTCACCTTATCCTCCTGAGTTATTTGGACAGCAGTATCAGAAGCCAGCAATGGTTTGAAAATGAGTAGCCTTAGATCTCTGGCCTTCAACTTCAAGACCCATGAAGCAGATAAACAAAACAAAAGCACAAAAATGAACTTGGCTGTGGTCACAGTGGCTACTTAGATCCAATCAACCAATTTCTAGCACTCACATTGTGTGGTTCACAATAGCCTGCAACTTCAGCTTCAAGAGATCTAACACCTTCTTTTGGCCACCACAGGCACTGTACTCATATGTACAAAGCCAAACACAGTCACAGCTTAAAATTTTTTTTTTTATTTAGGTGTATGGGTGCTTTGCCTGCATATATGTCTGTGCACATGTGTACAGGGCCTGAGGAGGCCAGAAGAGGGGTCTGGATCTGGAGCTGCAGACAATTGTGAGCAGCCATGTAGATGTTGAGAACCAAACCTGGGTACTCTGAAAAAGCGGCAAGTGCTCTTAAACACTACGCAACTCTGTAGCCTCAATATATATTAATTTTTATTAATAAAAAAAAATCAGCAATCATCTTACCTAACTTCACTCTAGAAAACCTAAAATCTGTCCTACACACAAAAGACTAAAGAAGTTATATGAAAAACTTATCAGGAAAGTTTTGAAGCAAATATAGACTGAAGAACTAATAACATCTAAGTACTGATGTAATGTCAGACACCCTGCAGACATAGGAAGGCACTACTTACTCACCGATGGAGTATCTTAGCTCAGTGCACATGCTGACCGGGGGCAACTTCAGCATCTCCCTCCATTTTTTACTACGGCCATTCTTCTTGCTAAATCCTGCTAAAGTTGAAGATAAAGATTTAAATTTCAAATTGTGTTGTTTTTGTTTTTGAGATAAGGTCTCACTATGTAGTCCAGATAGGTCTTGAATTCTTGATCCTTCTGCATTAACTTCCTTCACATGCTGAGGTTACACAGCTATATTATCATAACTAGACCCCCCAAAATTCTTTTTTGTTTGTTTCTTTATTAAAATATCATTAATCAATATGGTAGTCACAATAGAAAAGATTTTTTTCATGTATTGTAAATACTATTGTCTTTAATATATCTATTTGAGTAGATACTATTTGAGTAGATACATAAAATGAATAAAGCTTATAATTATTTGTCTCAACTAGGTATCAGCTTAATAAAGTATAAAATTTCTCAATTTCCATTTCCAAAATTTGTAAACTAGATCCAACATAACACAATCACTGTACAGTGCTACTTATAAACATTGGTTCAGAAGATATTTATATTTATTTTTAAACAAATATTTACCAAGCACCTACCACATGTCAAACATGTTAAAAGCACTGAGAATGCAATGGTCAATTAAAAAACAAAGAAACAGTGGTGGGAGAAAGGGTTCAGTATGTAAAAATGCATACTTCTCTTGTAGAGGACCTGAGTTTTATTTCCAGCACCCACATTTGGTAGCTCACAACTGCCTGTAACTCCAAATGTAAGAGATCCAATATCCTCTTCTGGCCTCTACAGACACTATACTCTACACACACACACACACACACACACACACACACACACACACACACACACGGGGGGGGGGGGGGGGGGGGGCCCCCCCGCTGGGCAGGTAGAGACAGAGAGACATACATGCAATATTTTTTTTAAATCCCTTTAAGAAAAAAAAGTATAGTCTGGTGTGGAAGTAGAATTCAGAGATAAGAGTACATACATGCATGGAGGCCTGTGTTCCATTCTCAACAACAAAAACAAAGTCCCTCCTCTATATTTTTTTTAATTTTTAGATTTATTTTATTCGTGTCAGTGTTTTGCCTGAATTTATATGTGTGCACCATGTGAATGCCTGGCATCCATGGAGGTTGGATCCTCTGGAACTGGAATTATGGAAGGTTATAAGCCACCATGTGGGCAGTAGGAACCAAATCTAGGTTGTCTGCAAAAGAAACAAATGCTCTTAACCACTGAGTCATCTCTCTAGCCCCACCCCCCATATCCTAAGTAAGGGAGAAAAGATTAATAAGCCATACAATAATAAATTACTAGAAAAATTAGTAATATTGGTCAACAGTATGAAATAAAATCGAAGTTAAAAGGTGGAAGGTGCTATTGTGACTAGGTAGCATTGAAGGAGACATCCCTGCAAGAATCTCATGAGGACACACTTGAAGAATATGGGGCAAGAGCCTCTAGAAGACTGGAGAAGAGGGCTGTGCTGGCTAGTTTTATGTCAACTTGACACAAACTATAGTCATGTGAGAGGAGGGAACTTCTCATTAAGAAAATGCCTCCAAAAACAAACAAACAAACAAAAAACAAAACCCAAAAAAGAAAATACCTCCATAAGATCAAACTGTAGGCAAGCCTATAGGGCATTTTTTACTTAGTAATTGATGGACAGAGCCCAGCCCATTATGGAGGGAGCCACCCCTGGGTTGATGGTCCTGGGCTCTTTAAGAAGACAGGCTGAGCCAGCCATGAGGAGCAAACCAGTAAGCAGCACCCCTCCATGGCCTCTGCATCAGCTCCTACCTCCAGTTTTTGACTTCCCTCAGTGATGGATTGTTACCTGGAAGTGTAAGCTGAAATAACCCCTTTTCTCCCCATGTTGCTTTGGTCATTGTCTTAGTTAGGGTTTCTACTGCTGTGAAGAGACACCATGACCATGGCAATTTTTATAAAGGAAAAACATTTAATTGGGGCTGGCTTACAGTTTCAGAGGTTTGGTCCATATCATCATGGTGAGACATGGTGACATGCAGGCAGACATGGTGCTGGAGAAGGAGCTAAGAGTTCTACATCTTGATCTGCAGGCAGCAGCAGGAGACTGTGTGCCACACTGGGTGTAGCTTGAGCATATATGAAACCTCAAAGCTCACCTCCACAGGGACACACTTCCTTCAACAAGGCCATACCTACTCCAACAAGGCCATACCTCCTAATAGTTCCTTTCCCTATGGGCTAAGCACTCAACAAATGAATCTATGGGGTCCATACCTATTCAAACCACCACAGTCATGGTGTTTCATCACAGCAATAGTAACCCTAACTAGAACAGAGGTTGGAACCAGGCTAGTATGGTATTGCTGTGACAGACTTGACCATGTTGTTTTTGGGAGACTTATGGGAGGAACTTTGGAACTTTAGGCTAGAAAAACTATTGAATGTTAAGTGTTCAATGAGCTGTTCTGTAGGAGTTTGGAAGTTAAGAATGTTGAAAGCAGTGCAGACAATGGAGGCCTTGCTTGTGAAGTTTTAAAGTGAAACTTCTGAAGCAGACTCTACCAGACCATTTGTATAAAGAATCTGGTGTCTGGTCAGCTGAAGCTGAAGAATTGCTGTAAGTAACAAGAGACCAGAACCACTAAAGTAAAACCTTTATTTTGCCGGGACAATGGATGTTGGTCAGCTGGGGCTGAAGAATCAGCTATGATTAAGAGACCAGCATCATCAAGGTGAAGTCTTCTGGGAATGTTTCCTCAGGGTCAGCACACAGAATCCGTGTTCCAGAAGAGGCCAGGATTGCAGCTCGTGCTGGCAGGCTAACTTGGTAGTGTAAGAGTCACCCAGGTGGTACTGGTTTTGAAGGCATGAAGGGGTCATGGAGAGCATCTGAGGCTTGGCACTATGTGGCAGGGCTGGGATCCCTGAAGTGAGCCCAGGAGAGGCAACTGGTGCAGTCCAGTTGCAGCAAGAAATCCCAGCCATTTTGGAGATGCCAGTACCATGGGATGACCACCAAGACCTTGTTTTTGGATATGGCACCTCTTCCTAGGACTTGTGTAGCTTTCGAGCCTGTCCTGGAACTCGCTAGGTAGACCAGGCTGGCCTCGAACTCACAGAGATCCGCCTGCCTCTGCCTCCCAAGTGCTGGGATTAAAGGCGTGCACCACCACCCGACACAATTAAACTTCTTAATAATATTTTATACAGCTACTTCCCAGGCACTTGTGCCTGGGTAATCCAGAAACCCTAGGAATTTAGTATACATTTCATACCTTTCCACACTCTGTCTTTCCAATTAGCAGCGCTGAGGATGGGATGGAACTCAGCATGTTAGGCAAGCGCTATGGTTTCAAAACACAACAAAGGTTAGCCCCCACTGACCACTTGCTGACACGGGCCAAGCAGCAAGCACGAACCCAGGACTGGGTCCAGTGGGATCAAAGCTCCCTTAGAGGACAGTGTGAAGGTCCCACCGAGATCAGGATTCTCGGAAAGACTGGAGCTGCTAGGAGGCACTACCTTCGGGGAGACCGAGTGCCTGGGGTGCACCCACCTTGACGAGCCTTCAGCAGCAGAGTGTTGGCCACGAGGTTCTCGAGTTCCATGGCTCGTAGTCTGCGACGCAGGCGCCGCTGCGGCGGGAGTCGAACTTTTTGGGGTGTAGGCAACGGAGGCGGGGAAGGCTGGCGGGGAGGAGACCCTAAAGCCACAGGGGCAGCCTCCGCGCATACCTCCGGCGGGGCGCTGGGCTTCTGGATGCTGGCCCGCCGCGACCGCTTTCGCCGCCGTCTCTTCTTCCGCTTCTTCTTGCGTCGCCACCACTGCCACCAGTGGCGCCGTCGCCGCCGCCGTCGCCGTCGCCGTCGCCGTCGGTGCGAATGCAGGCCCGGGGAAGGCTCGCCACGGGCTCCAGCTACGTTGTCGTCCGGGCGAGGGGCCTCCGCTACCGGCGCCGGCGCGCGGTTGCTCGAATTCCTCCTAGCATCATCGCCCAAGCCCACGGCGCGTAACTCTCGCCTCGGCGCCCGGTCCTGGCGCGGCACTGAGCCTCCGCTGCGCCCCACCCCACGGGAGAGCTCACTAACGGGAGAGCCGTCTCCGGCGGCGACGGCTACCGCAGCCGCCGCCGCCGCCGCCGGGGCCGCCAGATAACTCGCACAGCAGCCTGGCCCCGGCTAACGGTTTTCCTCCAGAGGGAGCCCGAGAGCTCCCCTCGGGGCGGTGCCTGAGGAGACTGTGGCAGCTCACGGGACACTACAGATCCCATAACGCCCAGCGCCAGGAAGTCCGGCAGTGTTGCCTCCTGGGAGTTGTAGTCTTCAATTCACGAAAGCGCCAGTTCGGTGTCTTACAGGACTTGTGTACTTCTCGCGAGGTAAGGGGTGCTGACGTAGTTATTGCGAGACGAGGTTGGGCGTGGTTCTGCAGCCTCGGCTCACGTTTCTTGAGGCAACCGGCTGCTGTTTGTCAGATCTGTAGGCACTGGATTCCAAAGTGTGGCCGAGTGAATGTCATGGGGAAGGCGAAGCGGGCTGGTGCGCGGAGGCAGGTCCACAAAGCACCCGCAGGGACTTTCGGAGGCCCGGCGAAGACTAACCCAAACCCGTTTGAGGTGAAAGTCAACAGGCAGAAGTTCCAGATCCTCGGCAGGAAGACGCGCCACGATGTGGGACTGCCCGGGGTGTCCCGCGCCCGAGCCATCCGGAAGGTAAGGGGACGCTGCCAGTATCTGGCTTCTCCAGTGGCTAGTTGAATACTTCTTGGAGACTGTCTTAGTAAGGCTTACTATTGCCATGATGAAACACCGTGACCAAAACAACTTGGGGGAGAAAAGGGTTTATTTGGCTTACACCTCTATACCGTAGTCGGTCATTGAGGGAATTAAAGGCCGGAACTCAAACAGGGCAGGAACCTGGAGGCAAGAGCTGATGCAGAAGCCATGGAGGGGTGCTGTTTACTGGCTTATTCTCCATGGCTTGCTCTGTCTGCTTATAGAAGCCAGGACCACCAGCCCAGGGGTGGCCCACGCACAGTGGCCTGGGCTCTCCCCATCAATCACTAATTAAGAAAATGCTCTTTAGGCTTGCTTGCGGCTGGATCTTATGGAAGCATTTTCTCACTTGGAGTTCCCTCTTTTCAGATGACTGTACTTTGTGTCAGGTTGGCTTTAAACTAGCCAGCACAGAGATCATGACTCTTAACATAGCACCGCCTGTGCTTTCTCTGGGATTGAATGCCCTTCCTCTGGAAACTCTTCTTTGGGATCTTGCAGGTGTACGTTCTTCTTGACTCCTCAGGGCCTAAGGCTTAGGCAGAGGTAATCACTTCTGAGCTCTGAACTGACCTGTACTACTTTTCTGTAGGCTTTGACCATGCCAGTATGCGACCCCATGCTCTTTGAATGTTTGAAAAATGTCCCTCCTCTGAATTACATGAGCTTGTCCTCAATTAAAATAGTACCTTTTATGGATAATCTCATAACTTTCATCCTGGTTCTTATGGGCCCTTCTCAAGTGTATTCTGTACCTTCCTTTCAAATTCAGTTCAACAAATGGCATTCTGTATGTAGCTGTTGATGTTCCTTGGGATTTTAAAAAGAAGTTTGTGGCTGCCTGTTGTGGTGCATGCTTTTAATCCCTGGAGAAGCAGAGGCAGGTGGATCTCTTGAGTTCAAGGCCAACCTGGTCTACACAGTGAGTTCTAGACCAACAAGGGCTACATAATGAGACTCAAAACTTCCAGTTGAGTCTCAATAAATGAATAAATATACTTAAATAAACAAAGAACAATTTCTGGTAACTTTGAGAGAGTTAATAGGTTAGAATTATTGGTAGTATTTGTAGGGGAGATAAATAAGACTTGGCCTTTGCCCTCACAGCTCCTAATCTGTACTTTGTTGCAAAGAATGCATTTCACGTGAGATCTTTAAATTGAATGAAATGTCTTTTGAATAGGGTGAGATATTCATACTGCAAGGAGCTGACACTGTCCTGTATGCATGGTCCAATGTATGCATTGTAGGAAACACAAAAGACTGACTCTATTCGCACTATACACTATAGGCTAAGGATAGCAGAGGGCGCATTGGGGAATAGGATAATGTGACCTCTAAAAGAGCCACATCTACGTTTTCCAGTTAAGCCTTGAGTTTTGTGCAATAATGGAACATACCCTGCCACTTGTAGTGGTTGTAAGCGTTAGATAAAATAGCACATTTAGTGGATAGTGAGCTGTCTCTAAATACTACTGTTCTTGCACTGCTTGGCCTGTTGTCCTTGTTTTGTCTCTTGCAACCCAATTTCTTAAAAAAGACTTGTTTTAATTCCTAAAGGTGCTAAAGTACAAGTACCATTTTTCACATCCCACAGACCAAATAGCAAAGTTTGTGCATCCCTCTAGTATGGATGAGAAGGATCTCAGTTCTTTTTTGAATTTCCAAGCACTTGGCCCACATCAGAAATTCAAATATTTGAAGAAATCATAAGTAGAAGCTGGGAACTTTGGGAGGTTACAGTCAGGAGGCAGTAATGTAGAACATCAGAAAATTGTTCATAGAATTATACTCACGCCCTGGAGGGCCAGTGGGCTAGACTGAGGAGGTGAGTTGGAGGCACACTGTACTGGAGTGGGGAAGGGGAAGGCACAGAGTCAAAGGGCTCTAGGTGTACTGACCATGCCACACCAAGACCCAAGGGGCATGGAGAAATTAGAAAGGATTGGGGAGCAGTGTCTCATTCAGACACAGTCACTACTGTTGGGGCTGAACTCCAGTCAGTTTGAGTAAAAATGACTGGAGTAAAAAATGCAAAAATGCTCAAATCTAGGGTCCCATTAAGGGTTTCAGATGCTGACAAGATACCTCATTAGTTGTGGGTTTATGAAGCCACTGAATTGGAACGTTACAAAAGCCTTTTGTTACTTGATGGTTCTACACTGATACTACTTTCGGCATTGATTGATGTATAAATGCTCTCAAATAACAATCTATTGGCAAATGTAAAAATTTCTGCAAAAAGCTTGGTATGGTGGCACGTACCTGAAATCCTAGCACTCTAGAGGAAGGGCAGGAAAATCAGAATTTTGAGGCCATCCTTGCCCACAGAGAGAATCCCAGGCCAGCATGGGCTATGAGGCTATGTTTTTTTTTTTGTTTGTATGTTTGTTTTTTAAAGGAATCTCTACAAAGAATGAAAGTTGCTATTACAGCAACTCAGGTCTCTTGAGACTATCACCCTTCCTTGCTTCCCCTCCATCCTTACCTTAGGGCATTTAACCTCAGGGCTGAATAATACTAAATATGTTTATTACTGCTGTTAGAGGGATACCCAATTTTCAGGTACTTGCTATTAGTTGTTCTGTGCTTAGAATATCAAGATAAAAGGGTTTGTTTTGTTTTTTTGTTTTTGTTTTTGTTTTGTTTTTCAAGACAGGGTTTCTCTGTGTAGTTTTGATGCCTGTCCTGGATCTTGCTCTGTAGAACAGTCTAGCCTCGAACTCACAGAGATCTGCCTGGCTCTGCCTCTCAAGTGCTGTGATTAAAGGCGTGCGCCACTGCCGCCCAGCAAGATAAAAGGTATTTTAAGGTGTAAAGAGTGAATTGTGCTCCCACTTGATAAATTCATTTATGATATAGTTTCACACATGAAAGCACAACTGTACATTCTCTGGGATATGTTCAGTGGGAAGTAAAGTCCCTCCTTTCTGTGGAAGAAATCTAAACACTTTTCCAAGTGAATCATGCCTATAGTAAATATTCCCAAATTGTAACACAGCTTCTACAACTTTCAGCACTGACAAGTAGATTCCAAAGAGGAGAATGATTATCTCACTCCCATTAAGTGTAAGTTGATTTTTCTCTTCTCAAAATTCTGTCATCACCAGGGAAGGCTTGTCATTGATGAAAGCATGTTATGAACTTCGATATCATAGTGTATAGTTCTCAACTTCACAGCCCATTCTGGTGGCCTCTTCAGTGAAGATGACAGGAGCTTGTGTGAGAATTATTTATGTGTGATCTGTTTTTCAGCGAACCCAGACTTTACTAAAGGAATACAAAGAAAGGAACAAGTCCAATGTCTTCACAGATAAACGCTTTGGGGAGTATAATAGCAACATGAGTCCAGAGGAAAAGATGATGAAGAGGTTTGCTCTGGAGCAACAGGTATGGAAAAAGTGTGTGTGTGTGTGTGTGTGTGTGTGTGTGTGTGTGTGTGTGTGTGTGTGTAGGGGGGGTGTCTTTGCTATAAATTTTACACAAGACCAGCCAAGGAAAAGGGTGTTTCTCTGTAGCAAGCTTTGTTCTCAGACACCAGCTCACAAACAGCAGCACAGAGACTTATTAGTTAAGAAAGCTCAGCCTTAGCTTGGGCTTGTCCCATTAGCTCTTATAACTGGAATTAACCCATTTATATTAATCTACGTTTTGCCTTGTGGCTTTTTACCTTTCTTTCATTCTGTATGTGCAACTACCTCCATGTCTCATTAGTGTCTGGTGCGCACCTAGTTTCGTCTCTGGGTTCATCTTCCTCTCTCTCTGCCCAGCAGTCCCGCCTCTACCTCTTGCCCAGCTGTTGGCAGTTCAGCTCTTTATTAAACCAATCACAGTACAGTATACAAATACACCAAACCCTTCTCCTTGTTCATTGACGCCTCTGAGTTGTTT